AGCGACTAGCTCAGTGCAGCTGGAGCGGGCTGGGTGGTTGTGTCACACACTCGAGGATGGTTGTGTCACACACTCGAGGACACGGAGCAAGGGAGATGAAGGCTGACGGCAAGTAGATTGCGGCTGGACACAGAGATTATCAGAAAGATGGGGTCTCGTGTTTTGTTGACTATGAAAAGGCATTCAACTGTGTGGCGTATCGCAAACTATGAATAGCCTTGAGCCAAGCAAGAACCCCAGCATGCTTCATTGTGCTCATGGGAGCTGTACACGGACCAAGAGACTGTTGTTCAACTAGAGCAAGGACATACTGCATGGTTGAAAATCAGGAGAGGTGTATGTCAGGGTTGTATCCTTTTGCCATAGTTATTCAATCTGTTTGCAGAGTAAATAATCCGAGAAGTTGGATTATGTGAAGAAGAATGTGGTATCAGGATTGGAGGAAGATTTAACAACCTGCGATAGACAGACTAGGCACGCACCCTTGCTTGCGGAAAGTGAGGAGGACTTGGAGCACTTAAGTATGGATTGCAACTCAATGTAAAGAAAACCCAATTCTCACAGCGGAACCATGAGACAACCTGCATGATAAACAGAGATTAGATGGAAGTCATCAAGGATGTCCTCGCGCTGGGATCCACAATCAATGCTCATGGAAGCAGCAGTCAAGAGATCAAAGACATATCGCATTGGATAAAGCTGCTGCAAAAGATCTCTTTACATTGTTGAAGAGCAAGGGTGTCGCCGGGCAGACTAGAGGGCGTCGGACCCAAGCCAGAGGACTTTCCACCTCCTCTTCCGTGTGTGAACACTGGACAATGAATCAGGAGGCCCGCAGGAGAATGGGCGCATCTGCAAGATTGCTTTGGCCAAGACTAGGTAAAGTACCTTGGACTACGAGAACATCAACAAAGGAGTTGAGACGGAAGGTTCTTTAGATTCGAGACCAGTGAGACTTCCTCTCACATACTTCGGCTGTATCATCGGGAAAGATAAGTCTCTTGAAGGTAAACAAGCGGCCATCTAGCTGAGAAGCAACAAAGCCCACATGGAAGAAGCACACCAGCCTCTGTGATCATGAGGT